GTGCTGACAGACAACACAAGCCTCACAATGCAACTAAACAGTTACGCTGTGTGTTTCTTTTTGCTGGGAAGTGTGCTTCACCAAAATTGTGCATATTTTTAGCCACACAAAAGGTAATTGATAGCACATAACCGTCACAACTTTGCTAAGAATGAAGAGGATGCACGGCTGGCTACACTGGCCCACTTTCTCCTTGATTACACATGAATTTTAATCCAAAAATTATGAGCTTTGGCTCTTCCCATGTTTCTCATTCATTTTTAACGGATCGTGAGTAACTAACTCAGAGAGGATTTTTTTTTTTTTTTTTTTTTTTTTTAATATGGCAGTGTAACGCTACTCCAGCGTGTAATTGGGGATCCACTCAGTGAGCCAGAATGATTATGGCACAGATGTCTTAGTCCAGAAAGCCTCGGCAGAGTGCCTATGAACTAGGCGGCCGTGCAGATGTGAAACTGAACAAGAAAAAAAATGGCATGACTATTCCAGGGCATGTAATAGTGCCGCCTGGTTTATATTTAGCTTTAAAGCTTTAAAAACATAAAGCTATACTTTGACTAAAGGTATACAGAGCTCGATGTTATTATTAGCCCATGTGAAACATTATCCAGTCACTGGTCGGTGTTCCTTGCATAATGACATACATGTTTTGAGGCTAACTATTAAAGATTGAATGCAGTCAATGTGAAATTGCAGCCTACTTCCTCGTGTACTGTAAGAAAGCCTGACAAGCTCCGCTTTAGCGACTTTTAATTGATTCATGTGAGGCTAAAGTAGAGTGGCCTTTCATTTAAGAGCAAATCATTACCGTCACAGAGTTATGCAACAAGACACCGTGACACATTTCACTTTAGGCAAGAAATTATTTTCTGCGGACCAATTAACCCTTTCAGGGACAGCGGTTACTACAGTGGACAGTTTAGCACGTTATCAGATTACAGGGTGCATGAAAGGGTTAAATATTTAGCAGGAAATATCTATTTTTTTGTGTGGGTAAATAAGCAAGCACGAATTCGGAAGAGCCAACATTTGCGTCTGATTAGCATTTGCAGTTAATGTTATTCAAAAAACAAACACGAAATATCTTTGGCCCCTGCTCCCCCAAAATTGTTCAATGAAAATTCCTGTTCAATTCAATAAATACAATGGACTCAACATACAAACCAAACACAACACATAAAAATTCCATGTCTTGAGAAAGTTTGGCGTTAACACAACATGGGGTGTCCTGGTATGAAAAACTTGTGAGACCGTCAACTGAGTCTTCCTAGGCTTTAATTGTTACTCTTTATGAAAAGCCCAGTGTACTATCCAAATCCTGAATTCACTACATTGTTGCTTGCAGCTCTTCACAGCAAGTATTTTGCCAAAGACACATTCTGATGTGGAGCTATTTTGGAAGCTTGTCCAGTGACAGAGACGGATGGCTAATTAGCAGTGAAATTGAGTAAATGGGGCAGACGGGCCATTTGAGCGCAATTGCCATCGCTTAAAATGCTGCTTGTACATCTAGCCACACAACATCCAACCTGGAGTCTTTCTTCACTTTCTTTTTTTATATGCACAGTGATTATACAACAGTCGGATTCAGTCCAACAGGAGGACAAGAAATGGATTTCATCGTTCCGTTCGGGAGGCAGCTGAGAATAGAGCGTTATCTCTTATGGTTTACGTGCCTCACAGTCGAGATCCTCTCGGTTCGATTCTTCAATCAAGTCCCCCTGTGGAGTGTGTATGGTCTCCCCATGCTAGTGAGGGTTTCCTCTCTCTGGTTGCCGACGACATCCCAAAACCAAGCACACTGGGTTTATTGTACTCAATTTCCCAGAGGTCTGAATGTGAGTGCAACTGATTATCTGTAGTGCCCAACAGTCGACCCTGCCTGTTGTCCAAAAGGTTAACTTGGACCTAACCCACCACTTAACACATCCACTGTGCCCTTTGCATTATCTGAAGCAACTGAGAATCACTGTTGATCTAATAACCTACCCAAAAATGAAAAATATTTCATACTACAGAATGCACTCTGAAATACAGTATATGTATAAGTGTATGAATGTGAGCTGTTCAGATATCTACCGACATGTTGGCTGTTACAGTGTTGCCTCGACCAATCAATCAGAGGACACTAGAATGTTATTTACAAGCTAGCTAGCTAGCCACCCTCGTAGCTAGCTAGCCACCCTCGTAGCTAGCTAGCTTGTAAATAACATTTACGTACAACATACCCTCGTGAGGTGTTTTTTAAAATCCAATTAGTTTAGAAACCGTCTGACTTGTAGCATAGTTTAAATTCATCAGCCAGCACAAGCGTTTATTAAGGCACAGGGCAGATTAGATTGCCATAGCAACAAATACAGGATGAAATCTGATTGGCCAAAACCTCTAAAATTCACATATACACATATTGGAAGTAGTGCAGCCAAGACAAATAGGTTGAAATGAAGAGCTCTTGAAGACTCCTGGGAAAAATATCAATTCATGTTATAATGTGGAATGGAATAAATGTTAAAGAAGTTCTTACGATTGTGTTGAGCCCAGCAGAGAAGGTCTGGTTTTCCCACAATTATTCAACGCTTATGGTTTGTTATTTGGTTTTTACTTTAACCCTTCCACACCGCCACCACATAGTCTATGCCTTTAAAAAAGTTCTTGACTTCTTTGTGTTGTTAAATCTGACATTGCAATGTATAACATCATGGGAAAAAATTGAATACTGTAGAGTGATTTACATATAAATGGCTTTTTTTTTGTCATCCCATATTTCTGTGTCCTCATTGTGCAGTCAGGCGATCGGAATCGCTTCTTCGTTTATCTTTAACTGGATTGTGAAAACAAACACGTTCTCCATCAGAGGTCGCTTTATGTCGTCCTACTTGCTGTCAATTTTGTGAGGGAGACCGCAACCTACATTATTCATCCGACCGAGCGACAGGCAAACAAAGCCGTGACAAATCTGAGGCAAAAGTAGGCATGAACGCTACATTTTAATTTTCAATTCAACTTCAAAATTGCGATTGAGTTGATCAAAAATGATGAAACGTCACAGAAGGCTTTTAATAATTGTCCATCTTGCCTTTATGACATTAATGACAGTCTAGATTACATTTCCTGACAATGGGTCTTTGGGCATGTTTTTTTTTGTTTTAGATAGATATTAATTATAAAATAAAATAAAAAAATCAAGCTAGTTTTTCTTCTTGCCAGTGGACCTTCGATCCATCAAGGTGTAAACTCAACTGTTTTATCTCTGGCTGTTTTTTATATAATAATGAATGGCCCTATTTGATCAAAATGGGTAAAGAAACTAAAATTGAGCAGATTTACTGCTGCAATCAAATGTGAGCAACGTTAACACAAATGAAAGAACAAACAGGTGACCGCAGAGTCTCCTGGACCCATCGAACCCCCGCCGGTGTTTGTGTGTGGGTGAGCGACACTGACTGACAGCCAGAGATGTGCCGCTCTCGACGCTGCAAGTAATCACCCACCGCCTTTCTTGCAGAGTGTGTGTTCAAGTGTGTGGGCGAGTGGAAGCCGGCAAGGCGGCTGAACTGCCACAGGAGCCGAGATGACAAGGGAAATTAGCGAGGCTCTCACAGGGAGAGTTAAATGAAAGCTTTTCTACATGAACTGAATACCTGGCAGCAGTCGAAGATGCAACGCCCGAAAACGTCAAAATAGTTTGCCAAATCTACTCTTACAAAGCTGCAACATGCTACGGCTCAGTTTAAAAATCACTTGAAGGGAACAAATGAAAATTCTGGTTCATTCATAACCGAATTGCAACGGAGTTTCCTTGTATGGGACTGCATTCAAGCCGTAGCGTTTAAGCAGACGGAAGCGGATTAGTTTATTGAAATCGTCCCAGTGGATCCAAACGTCTCACAAAGAAGCAATAGAAGGAGCGTTGGACCGATTATCGGTTGCATTTTGATGAATATCAGCATTTTTTTTTACATTTATTTATCAATTTAAAACTGGGTTAACTTTGGGGATCTGTTTATTTATTTACGGTATTTAGATTAGAACATCTACAGTAAACTTGAACACCCTAAGGTCTGATGAGTCTGCAGTTCGACAAACTCAGTGAATGCAGCTCTCAAAGGTTTGTTCGGTGAGCATGACAGAACTGAAAAGTCAAAGAAAAAGCAAAACAGACATCTTGCTTTTTCTTTGACTTTTTTTTTGTTCCAAAATAGTCTCAAAGAGCAACTTTAACAGACGATAAAAATGTATATACGGTACACAAGTTACATTAATTTAGTGTTTGGTCAATTGACAATACCATCCATCCGCGTTATCCTCAAAAGGGTCGCGGGGGGGGGGGGTTCTGGAGCCTATCCCAGCCGTCTTCGGGCAGTAGGCGGGGGACACCCTGAACCGGTTGCCAGCCAATCGCAGGGCACACAGAGATAAACAACCATCAGCGTTCACATTCACAGGGACAATTTCGAGTGTTCAATCAGCCTGCCATGCATGTTTTTGGAGTGTGGAAACCGGAGTACCTGGAGAAAACCCACGCAGGCCCGGGGAGAACATGCAAACTCCACACAGGGAGGCCGGAGCTGGAATTGAACCCGGTACCTCTGCACTGTGAGGTCGACGCGCTAACCAGCTAACCACTGGACCACCGGGCCGCCCTGACACTACCATATTACTGCAAAAAAGAATTCCATGACGGCGACCGTTTGACCGTGGAATCGATTATTTACATTGAAATTATTTCTTGTACAGAATCCAGGAATTCTGTTCAATTTGGAAGTTCAACTGTGGTTCGTGAGAATGTACTGGTGAGCAGATGCTGGTGCACACACAACACAGATATTTTTTGCCAAGCTTTTGCAACATATGGCTTTAAATTTAATTTACCCCAATAACGGTCTACAGTGAAACTGTCCTGTGAACAAATAGGAGTTGAAAAAAAGATCTCACAAGCCCTGCTAACAAGCCACACGTAAAACATTCAAATGAAGCGGGCCCCTTGCACCCTTACTTACTGCAAGTCTCCTCAGCCTCATCAGAGCCGTCGGGACATTCCGGTTCCCCATCACATCGCCATCGCCCTGGCACACATTGGCCGTTCAGGCAAGCAAACTCTGCAGGGGCGCAGGTTTTCCGGGCTGCACGGAGACAGAGAAGAGGAGGTGAGGATGACAGACTTCAAAAGAATGCTCGGGTACTCTTCCTTTCGGTCTATTCTCTGTCGGAAGACCTGGTGCTATTATGTAAACGCTGCTCATCAAGACTCTTGACGCTGAATTCTCCTTGCCATTCTCTTGGCATGTAAACGAAGTGTTGAGCATTTATATTTTGCTTCTGAATGATGGGCCACGAGACAGTGTAAGATAAGCGACGTTCAACCGCTTATCTTGCCATTGTGTTGATTACAAAGTGCAAGACACAATTTCAGTACACGTCCTTGTAAAAGTAGAAAAAGGTTCGGAGCCGATCTCTCCATTCTGAAACTGACCCATTTCTAAACGCAGAGGCTCCCAAGTGGTCATGATTGTGTTTTTGTGTGTCTCCAGCAGGTGGCTGAGGAGGGCCTTCCCTCCATCCTGATCACCCGTGGCCAATCATAATCAGTCAAGTATTTAAGGACTTCCAGGCTGCCAAATATTTTCTTCCCATTCTTTATAATAAGTATTTTTGTTGTTCAGGTCAGACTGGGTTTTCGTATCCTTCGCCTTTTGCCGATCTTCTTGTCTTTTCACGACGAGCTAGTTCCGTTTATGTTATCCTTGCCTTTTGCGTTTTTGGATTGTTTTGGTTTTCCTGGTTATTCTAACCAGTGTTATTTGTTGGACTTGCATTTCTGTATTAATAAACTCTTTTTGTTCAATTCAATCTCAGTCCACGTTTTGAGAGTTGGATTCTGATCCATACCTTTCCGGAATCGTAACAATAGACTTAGCATTTCATATGTTTATTGACCACCTCAGATCTTTTTTTTTTTTTTTTTTGTGACATTTGTTTTATAAGGCCAAATCTGAAAAGAAAAAAAATTAAATGGCTGAAAATTCTCATGTACTAGAAAAAAAGTTGTTTTTTTTTCCCTCCCCCAAACAGCGTAAAAAATACGTCTCGGTACCGTTGACAAGTGTTATTAATCAGAAAGTACAATCTGAAATATAAACAAACATACATAAAGTACATACAAACAATCAATTGCGATTATGAATCATTTTCATTTGGAATTTCATTTCGTCAGATGATCATTTAAGCAGGTGTTGGATCCCTGCTGCGTTGTTGCTTTATCAGTGTATTTTTGTGTTTCGACTGACACTGTGGCAGTTGAGCACGTAAAATTGAGTGCAGAAATGGTCATTGCAGCACAAAATGAGAAGTTGCAGCGGAATCTGCATATCATGAACGACTGTACATCACGTGACCATAAATAAATAAATAAATGAATCTGGCCATTCTGAGCTTGACTTGATTTGTGCTTTCTGCAGGACTCCTCATGATCGCGGTAGTTTCTTATTCAGGCCAACCGAGCCAGTCACTGATTTGAGTCAAGGTCTACAGGGACCGCGGTTCACTTGGCAGTAATTACTCAGGCTACGACATGCCATCTGCTTGGAGTGACTTTCTGTTTTAATTAGTACAGATTTGAAAACATAAGGCTGATAGGGGATGCTAGTTGGAGGGGGGGGGGCAAGTCAAAGAATAATGGTACAGAGGTCTGAGAAGAAAGCAAGAGATTTGATGAAGAAAAAAAGAAGGCGGGGGTGGGAGTACTAATGCAGAGCTGGATTGTGTCACATTGTTCAAATGATTTTATGGAGACCAAATGCAAAGTGGAAAACTGAATAGAATTTTGGCATCATAACTGCCAAAGGCAGGGACAGCACTTCCAGGACACTGATTCCTCTATGACATGTGGTAAATATACAATAGGTGTCACACATGGTGTAGGGCAGAGTGCAAGTGAGTTTTTGTCATTCGGACAGCAGAAAAAAACATAACAAATGCGGCAAAATTAGGCTTTAATCTATTAAAGACAAAAAGTCTGAATGGGCCCAATTATTTTTATTTTTTTATTTCTAATCATCGCCAACTCTAAAGCCAACGAGATTTTAACAGAGGTACTGTGCAACAACCCAGCCTCATCCTGCTGTGTTTTTTTTTTTCTTTCTGAGGGGGGTGGGGATTCCACAGCAAGGGTCATGCAGCTGTCAAGCTCCCCTAAATCCCACTTTTATCTGAAATGAGCAGCAACACAGTAAACTTCCTGGTGAAACTAATCCAGCTTGGCAGATGGGGAGGCTTCTCAATGATGAGAGCTCATTAAGATAAAGAGCCCCGTCCTCCCAAAAAAAATAATAAATCACCG